CCTTCATCTCCAAATGCCTCTCACACACGCCCCAGTTCTGTGTGTGTCTCTCCTGTCTGCCTGTCTTTTTCTGCTATGCAAATCAACGAGTGTTAATTATGCAATATGCTCTCTAATGAGAGAGGCGGGAAGGAGAGAGACAAGTGGAGAGAGACAGAGACAGAGAGTCAGAGAAGGACAGACTGCAGGGAAGAGTGGAGGCGACTACCCTCACTGAAAGTGGCTCAGCCTTCTGTGGTTGGGAAAGGCCAAGGGAAGAAAAGGTTCGTGCGCTTGCTTGCTTATCTGTTTGTTTTGAGACAGGGTCTCATGGAGCCCAGGCTAGGTAGCCAACGACGACCCTGAACTTCTAATCCCCATATGCGCACACCTCCCAAGTGTTGGGGTTACGGGCATGTAATACCACACACAGTTATCTTTTGAATTTAAAGACATCCTTCCCATGTGCGTCGCATTGTTCTGGGGATTGTTTACGTGGTTCATCAGATCACTAAAGAGGTCCACAGGATCCAGGCAGTGGTGGCACATGCCTTTAATCCCAGCACTGGGGAGGCGAGGCAAGTGGATCTCTCTGAGGCCAGCCCTGGTTATACAAATTGAGTTCCAGGACAGCCAGCGCTGTTACACAGAGAAACCCCTGTCCCCCCAAAACCCCCCAAGTGGTCCACAAGAAAAAACATGAAACAAAAGCCAAACCAACAGGGTTGCAACAATGTTTCAGGACCGTGGACAGCGCTGTCCTGCCCGCCTCCAGCTTCCCTGCAGATCAGCGTATTTCTTTTAAAAGGGACCACCTGTTTCTTCAAGAATAACGCGACATAAAAAGGGACATCCACTCTATATGGCTATTAGTCAAGCCAGCACCTCCCCACTTCCCCTTACCTGTCCTGCCAACATCTCATATAGCAGGACCCCAAAAGACCACCAGTCAACAGACTTCCCATACGGCTGATAGGCAATGATCTGAAAGAGGAAGAGAAGGTAGAGAGTGACTTGTTTTGAGACAGGGTCTCGTGTAGTTCAGGCTAGCTTTGAACTACGTATTGGAAGCTGACCTGGAACACTTTGCTCTCCTGCCTCCACCTCCTGAGTGCTAGGAATTCAGATACAAGACACCGTATCTGGCTGTGAACTTCTTTAAGATGTGCAAGACTCCTCCGGCCTCTCTCTCTCTCTCTCTCTTTCTCTGGATCCTGACCCATTTCAAGTGTTTTTGAGACAAATATTCTCTACTCTGAATATTTTAGCAAGAGCTCCACCCTTTGGAAAGTCCAGGAAATAATGTTTATATACTTACAAGTTTCCTTTACTGTCGTATATAAAGGCTACAGTGACATGCACACACACAGAGTACTTTTTTTTTAACATGGAGAGGACACTCACACACACAGTACTTTTTTTATGTGGAGAGGACATACTTTGGAAAGTTCTTCTCTTACCTCCACATACATACTGTGACAAATGTGTACATGCATACACAAATAATAAACTCAATATTTGAAAGCTTGTGTAGGTCAAGCATGGTGGCGCACGCCTTTGATCCCAGCACTCAGGAGGCAGAGGCAGACAGATCTATGTGAGTTTGAGGTCAGCCTGGTCTACAAAGTGAGAATCAGGACAGCCAGAGCTTCCCAGAGAAACCCTGTCTCAAAAAACAAACAAACAAAGCCTAAGGGCCAAGGAACAAGTGCCACCCACATAGACTATTTCACCTTCTGTTTGAATGCTACAAATATAGAGTAATCTTATTTTTATTTTTATTTTTGCTGAATCTTATTTTTAAAATGTTTTCATTATTCATTTACGGGGGGGGGGGAGTCTATGCATATCATGGCTTCTGTGTGGCGGTCGAAGAATGACATTCAGGAAAGAGTCAGGTCACTTCCACTATGTGGGTTCCCAGGGTGAAACGCAAGTCAGCGGTCTTGGCAGTAAGTGCTCTACCCACTGAGCCATCTGGTTGACCCTTGGGCTAAATTTTAAAGACCAGATTTTTTTTTTTAAGAAAAGATTACATGTAACCCAGGTTAGCTGTCTCTGTAGACAAGAATAGCCTTGAACTCCTAATCCCCCTGCCTCCACCTCCTGCAAGCTAGGAGGCACCATACCTGATTAGATTATTTTCTCTTTCTTTTATATGCTCTTTTTTTTCCCCCAAGCATTACAGGGTCTCACTAGAGAGCTCCAGGTGTCTTCAAACTGGAGATCTTCCCACTTGAGCCTCCCAAGTGCTGAGATTAAAGATATGCACCACCACTCTTGGCTAAAACAGGAGAGTTTGTTTGTTTTGTTTTGAGACAGGGTTTCTCTTTGTAGCTTTGGAGCCTGACCGTAG